TCTGCTGCACCAAGTGGGTCAGCTTCCTGGCTGGGATTCAAACTCGAATGCAGTGGCTGCTGACATCTTCATAGTGCTGTGCTCTAGCCCGTTACACCACCAGGGAGGGCCTTTTTTGATGTATATTTATAACTATTTGTCATAACACTGTATTTTATATAATCTTAAATCATTTTGTTCTGTTTTCTGCTAGTTCCTAAGAATACAAGGTTGCTATAAGTTTAAGGATGATACTTTAACCTTTTTTTCTTCTGAACATTATGAAAATGTTCGAACATACATACAGAAAAGTTGAAAGACTTGTATAGGAACACATGTATACTCACTTTCTAGAGCCTGCAATTAGCATTTACTCTGCTTTCCATGGTAATATATCTGTCAATCTATTCATCTTTCATTCCATCTTATTTTTATTTGATGCACTTCAAAGTGAATTGCAGTTGTCAGTACACTGCCCTTTAGAGTTGTTCCTTTTCATGAATTTACATGTTCTTATGCTGCCAGCATTTCTGTATCCAGGATAGACAGGTTGGGCCGGTCCAAAGAGACCTAGTCCTTGTTCAGTTTCTCAGAGTTGTTTTCTGATATTCAGAGTATTTTTGACCTTGACAAGACCCTAGTGAGCAGAGACTTTATAGAGAAGGATGGTGAGGCCTTGAGTGAAGAGACCTATCTGAGTCAGAGCACCTGAGGCTCAAGTCCCTGTATCCTCCTGTGACTCAAGAAAGAAGATGACTTAACATGGTTCTTGTTGCCAACTTAAAACAACTGAGGTTCAACTAGCTAGATAATGCTAGATAGTGGAAATTAGTCTAGAAAAAGGCATGCTTATGCCATTTGGTTTAGCTCTTAATAATTATTTTTTTAAAAAGCAACCACTGTAGTCATGACAGATATGTTCCCCTAAAACAGGCTTGCATGCTTACTTCCATTGTGAATAATATCGGAGAATAGTCAGGCCCTGCAACTAGGCATGTCAGTGAAGTCTGTTTGTTCCCTTCATACACTACCAGGATGTGAATAGAAAAGTGATGGACCGTG